TGTTGTGAATTAAACCTAAGAAAAAAAAAAAAATAAATTCTGGTGTTGTTGGTTTTTCCGCATCGACTAAAAATAGATATCCCAAGGTATATATAAATCTTAGCTTTGAGTTCACTGTGTTCATTTTTCAATCATGCCTTCTGTGTGGAGAATGTCGTATTTTCTTCACCAAGAAAATAGTGCCTGTCCTCATTGTTATAGCCAGTTGAGAGAGATCAGCAGATTACCTGAGTATGACAGTGACGACGACCTTATTGGTTGGTATTGGGGATGTAATGAATGTGAAGAACGTATACCTCACTGGGAAGTAGACGATCCCCTTAGTTTGTGGTATTGTCGCTGTGATTGGTGCCTGAAATATTGCCTGTGGAAATATGGGGTTGATTTTATGATGCCACGTTGGGCTAAGCGCATGAGAAGAAATACCAAGATCGAAAGATGCCCCTCCTGCTGGGAAGAAAACACCCAAGGAAAATGGAAATGTCAACAGTGTATGAAATATCCCTGCTGTGAAAAGTGTTACAAGTCCATTATACGGCTTTCTTACAGAAATTGTCCCTTGTGTCGATTTGAACAATAATAATAATAATAATAATAATAATAATAAAAAAACTATAAACAAACCAGGTCTTATTTTCTTAGCTGCAATAATGTAGCCCTCTCCCGATTTTTATTTTTTTTTTTTTGGGAGAGGGCTACAACTCCTTAGGATCTCCGTAATGGTGCAAGTGCGGGAGTGATTCACTACCGCACAGATTTCGGCTCAAATTATCAGAAAGTGGGTATTTTATTAACATATCTTACCTGAACTCATAAAATGTAGTTATGCAAGACATGAACTGATCCAAAAATATACAGAACAATCCGTATATCGGTTATTTTTCATGTATGTCAACATCACAACTTGAATTTATCCGCCATGTTTACTGACCTTGATCGATTTTATTTTGGGACAACCAATGAGAATTTGGGATCTAGGGGAGCGGATCTGTATGGATTTCCCTTATTATAAGCATATATATCACTGTTTATGATAAAAATATCACATGGAATGCTTTTATTTATCGATGTTTAGTGATATCATACAACACAAACATTTATCAACACCGACATTTACATTATCAAGTGATTCTAAATTTCAAGCGCAAGTCTCAGTACATCACGCGAGAACTGTCATGGCTGCTGAGGTGAACGACTGGAAAACACGCATATTTATTTTACTTGGTTTTCGCGTATAATGGGCTATGATGTTGATAGTGAATAAAAATTCCGTCTTCTTGGAAGTAAGTTGAATGCAAAAACAATTTATTTTGCCTGCAGTTGCCCGTATCTAAAAAATATATTTGCACCATTACGGAGATGCAGTGGAATTGTAGCCCTCTCCTGAAAATATCAGATTAAAAAAAATCGGAGAGGGCTACATTATTGCAGCTATTATTTTCTCAGCTGAATACATGTGATGACGTCACAATAGGCAGCTTGATGACTTGAATCGGTGCCAAGTTTATGCCCTTGGTAAAAACCTGGTTTTTTTTTTTTTTTTAATTTATTTTTAGACTTTGGAAAAACCAATAGATTTAAAAAATTTATTTTTTGACTTTGGAAAAACCAATAGACGTAAATAGAGTAAGAACGTGTTAAGCACGTGTGGGTTTTTCCAAAGCGACTATAAATAGTCAGATCCAAAGGTATTTAAAGCTGAGCTTTTTTTTTTAAATTTCACAAAGCGACTATAAATAGTCAGATCCAAAGGTATTTTAAAGCTGAGCTTTTTTGAAAAAAAAAAATTTCACCACCACCACATTTCATCATGATTTTTATGTGGAGACTGAAGTATTTGTTTGAGGTAGAAAAGTATTACTGTCATTACTGTGATAGGGAGATGATCCATGAGCGTACATTTACGGTGTATGATTATCCCGGATGGCATCACAGAACTTATCGAATTTGCGAGCATTGTGAAATGGCTTTTCCTCACTGGTTTGTGGATGATACCCCTTCCATGGAGACCTGTGGATGTAGCTGGTGCGTGAAATATTTCACATGGAAGTACGGGGCAGAGAATATGGTGCCCCTATGGGTCAAAGTGACCAGGAAGAGAGCCTTAAAGAAATGCCTGACCTGCTGGGAGGAAAATACGGAGGGGAGATGGAAGTGCCAACAATGCCGACAGTATCCATGCTGTGTGAAATGTGTCGAGAACTTCGTCAAGATTTGCTACAGACTTTGTCCATTATGTAGATATGAAGGAAATAAATCATAAAATCAAAAAAAAAAAACTGTTGTTGGGTTTTTCCTGAGATGCTAAAAATAGATTGGATAAGGTTATATAAAGAGGTATGACCCAAAAAATATCATTCATTCTGAAAAAGTTCAGTGTCCAAGTCAGACGTGTTTTCAAAGATGCAGTATCGTTGGTATTGTGAGAGCCCCGTCACTCAGTTTATTTACATGCAAGGAGGGTGGATGAAAACTAAACTAGGAGCGATCCTGGATTTCTTTGAAAATCATCCAGGACATTCCCTGGAAAACGTGTGGCTGGAAAAAAGAGTCAAAATCCCGCATCCTAAAGGAACTAGAGTGAGGGTGAAATTCAACCAGCATTACGAGCAATATAAATGGGTCAGCTGTACTCATCCTATGAATCGTTCAACACCGATGACCCTGGTTCTGAACGAAAGTCTCTGGTACTCCGACATAGCAGAGTGTGTGAGACATTTTTTCAAGATGAAGAAAAAAGAACTGACATTTTCAGATTATCACGACGTTAAACAGTACGTGTATTGTCGCATCCCCTTTTCCCAGATCAAAGACAATATGGAAAAGGAAGGACCTGGTGTTTTAGACAGAGTGATTGATTACAGATCATCATCAGAAGAAGAAGAAGTGTAAAAAAAAAAAAAAGAAAAAAAAATAGACTCAATAAAATTTTTAAAAAACAAAAAAAAGTGTTGTTATAAATAGAAGGGTCCTAAGTTATTTTGTCTCAGTATCTCACTGAACATGGCCGAGAGCAGTGGTTTTTACATGACTTTACCCAGTGATGGGTCCATGCAATCTTTTCCGAGTAATACGACTGCTCAATTTAAAACCTTATTGCCACAAACAGTAGATTTAACAGATGGACAATGGGAAGTGGCTTTAACAGAATTGATGTATCCCATTTCATTGAAAAACATCACAGAAGAGGAAGCTTATTTTGACATCCTGCTTCCTCAGTTTTATGCTCCAAAAGTCGAAGAACCTAATGTGTTTAAATGGGATAGATTTAAAATGAAAACCATAGAGGCGATGCCATTAAGCGAATGTCCTGTACTGTTAGATTGGGACCATACTGAATTTGGTAATCTCATAACGAAAGACCAGAAGATGGAAATTAAGCGAATTCACTTTAGACCGGGGCCTTACATTCATCCCATGGCTTTAACAAGTGAAATCAGTCTTGGACTGGAAAGAACTTTGAAAAAATTATAGAAGTTTTTGGGTGATTCTAAAAAAGAGGGTGATTCTAAAAAAGAGTATGCCATGAAATTAACCTATCATGACAAATATGATAAAGTGATGTATCAGTTTACGGGGAGAGAACTGAAAAAATATCCCTTATGCATTCGTTTCCCCACAGCCTTAGCTTATAAGCTAGGAATAGAAAGTAAGAAGGTGATTCTTCAGAACGATACAGAAACCAAATGGATCAACGTTAGTTACATGGGTAACAATACCGTAGATTTATATGAAAATCTGAAATCCATGTACGTGTATTGTGACTTGATTGAACCCCAGACGGTAGGATCCAATGCCTTGAAATTATTAAGAGTGGTTCCTTGTACACTCAATCTGGAAGATAAAAAACAAGCTAAATGGGAACCGGTTCGAGCGGAATATTTGAAACTGAGTAAAAAACATTTCGATAGCATTGAGATTCATATCATGACTCCTATAGGGACTCCCATGCCTTTTTTAAATGGAAAATCGGTCGTGAAACCTCATTTTAGAAAAGTGTACTGAGATGAGTGTACATCTTTTTTTTTGTTACATCTTATTGGGAGTGATGACTTGTCTGATATGCTGTCTGTATTGTATTCAACCTTAAGACAGGAGGATATAAAAAGGAGTCCCTGGAGTGCATTTAAGTCAGTCTGACACGAGTCATGAAACATGCAGTATCATCCCGGATTATTGAGACAAAGAGGACACGGACAGTTTGTCTATCATAGAGGTTTATTACGTCAAAAAGGACACGGTATTTTAGGATCCTTGTTTAAAGTAGCAGCTCCCTTAATAGGAAGATTATTTGGAGGAGGCCAACAGCAACCACCCCCACCCCTGCCTATTATTATCAACCCCAAAACTATCAAAGAGGGGAAGGATTTTTTACGGATTTACTGAAATCGGGGGCTAAACACGCCTTGACCGCTGCTGCTAGAACGGGGTTAGACGTGTTAGAAAATAAGAGATCTTTAAAAGACGCTGTCAAAACTCACGGAGTACAAGCCCTGAAAAACACTTCGGGAATGGTGAAACAAAGAATGAATCTAGGAGGTACTAAGAAAAGAAGAAAAAAGAGAATGAAAAAACAGAGGGGATCGGGAATGGTGATTAAAATAATAAGAAGAAAAAGACGACAGAGAGGCAGAGGATTTTTTACGGATTTACTGAAATCGGGAGCTAAACATGCCTTGACGGCTGCTGCTAGAACGGGGTTAGACGTGTTAGAAAATAAGAGATCCTTAAAAGACGCTGTCAAAACTCACGGAGTACAAGCCCTGAAAAATACTTCAGGAATGGTGAAACAAAGAATGAATCTAGGAGGTAGCAAGAAAAGAAGAAAAAAGACACCTGTGTTAGCCCGAGGAGGTCCTAAGAGAAAAAGAAAAAAACAAGGAGGAATTCAGACTAAGAAAACACGTCCTTTAGATATCTTTGATTGAGAGACTATAAATAGGGGAGTCGAGTGATATTGACCTTCATTTGTGAAAAATCAATCCTAGTAGACAGACATCATGTTGCAACCAGATTCCTGTGCGTGTGGGATGAACAATTTACAATTGTTCCAAGTCCCCCCGACTAATATTGCTTTAGAAGACTCCAAATGGGAAGAATATTACCCCATTTCTAGTACTTTAGATTCGGATACGGCTCCCATTGAATTTGAAATTAAAGGACAAGGAGATCAATATCTGGATTTATCTCAAACGTATGTTCAAATGGTGTGTAAATTTACCAAAGACGATGGTACTAATCTGACTGGGGCTGGCACTACTTGCGCCCCGGTGAATAATATCTTACATTCCTTGTTTACGGAAATCGATCTCAATGTCAATGGGAAAATAGTGACTCCAGGAACCGATACTTATCCTTACAAAGCTTATCTGGAGAAATTACTTTCTTACAAACCCAGAACTTTAATGACACAGATGAGAGCTTGTAGTCTGTGGGAAAAAGATACGGCAGGACACATGGAGGAAGTGGGGGTAGCACACCTTGGAGTGACTCAAAATAAGACATTTGATGTAAAAAAGGGTGTAAGTGGTGATACTGTGGTCATTGACGAACCTATCGTCCCAGAGTTACCGGCCAATTCTAAAAACGAAGGATTTAGAAAACGTCACCAGGCCATCAATGATAGTAAGAAAATAGCCTTGTTTGATCGTTTACATCTGGATTTATTTCAACAAGACCGATTTCTACCCAATGGAGTAGACGTCCGTTTGAGATTTAATCGAGCTAGACCTCAGTTCTATATGATGATCAAAGCAGGAAGTACGGGAAAAATGAAAATATTGAACATGGTCTTGTGGGTGAGAAAAGTCAAACCCACGGCCGTCATGATGAATGGCATTAATCAAAGTTTGAACACTCATAGAGCTAAATATCCATTGAGAAGAGTGGAAGTGAAAACCTTTACCATACTGATAGGAACTCAATCTAAGATTACGGATCATCTGTTTCAAGGCCAGATGCCTAAACGTCTCATTTTAGGCTTTGTGGAGAATGCGGCTTTTAACGGAGATAAAACTAAAAATCCGTTTCATTTTCAAAACTTTGGGATTAAGAAATTAGATGTCAGTATCAATGGAGAGACCAGAGACAAATCTCAAATCAGTGTCTTGAGTCGACAGTTAGCCTTACCACATTTGATGTCGGCCTATCAAGAAGCCACCAGTGTTCCTCACGGGTATCTCCTGGTTGACTTGAATCCACAGACCCCAGACGAAAACAGATTGAGAAGTCGATTGTTTGAATTGTTGACTATACACATGCCACAAGAGTATAAATAAAAATGTACCAACATTACACTTGTCATTTATCATTATACAGTCGTCATGGGTCGACCTCTCTCGGCCAAGAGTAAATTAGTGAAAACGTTACGACGTTTACAGCGGGAACGAGATCCTGCCAAGCGAGCCCATTTAATCGAATTAGGGCGTAAAGCCTTATTGAATTGGTTTGCTATGGGAGCTCGAAATTTGATACGTGGGGTCTTACCCATCAATAAACAGACTCAAAAGTTTATTAATAATCATCGTCAAGATTTAAGCATCATAGCCGATAAGTCGGCGAGTGATCAAGACAGAAAAAATGCCATTTTAAAACGCGGAGGAGCCGGATTTCTAGGCGGAGTCATCATTCGTCATTTATTTAAATGGAATGCACCTAAGAAACGACGTGTTCGTCGTTTGAAAAGTGTGGTAGTGCGAGTCGATAATAAGAAACAGAGTGTTTCCCGACTGGATGGTCCGAGTAGGAGGAGCAGCTCAAAAGACCAGAAAGAAGAGAAAACCTCAAAAGAGCAAACCTACTCAAAGAAAAGCCCCTGGTGGTAGAAAGAAAAAAACGACTCCCAAAACTCCAGCTCAAAGAAAAGCCATGCCCGAAAGTCTAAAAAACGAAATCAATTAGGAGGAGCAGCTCAAAAGACCAGAAAGAAGAGAAAACCTCAAAAGAGCAAACCTACTCAAAGAAAAGCCCCTGGTGGTAGAAAGAAAAAAACGACTCCCAAAACTCCAGCTCAACGAAAAGCCATGCCCGAAAGTCTAAAAAACGAAATCAATCAGTATTATAAGGAACAAAGACAAAAAACTATTGGGGAGTTATTAAAGAAACAAGCTGAAATGAGAATGGATCGTCCTGTGGGGCCCATAGGCAGTCAAAGAGCTACCGATTTAGAAGTGTTTCCTCGAGTCAATGTGGGAATTCCCTCTCCTAGAATTAAAGTCCCCATTCACACTCCTAAAATAGCACGCTTTCAACCTCTGACCGCTTCTACACCTACACTTCCTAAAGGAATGAGATATAAATGTCGATATTGTTCCAAAATCTACGTCATCCAGAAAAATAGAGACAAACACGAGAAGGACAAACACGACATGTATGCTCCTCCTCCTTGAGAGTATAAAAAAGGAGAGAAACCTGGGACATGTCCTCATTTTAACCCCAGGATGGCTAAGAAGAAGAAAAGAAGGACTTGCTGTTCTACACGATTAAAACCTCATTGGCCTCTTTTAAGAGTGTTATCTGACCATCACTATTCCTCTCCATTAAAGACGCGTATTCTAAAACATTGTTCTGGAGATTGTATTCTCAAAATCTGCGAGATCGTGTATAACCTATTAAAAGGAGTGTTACCTCTCAGTTCGGCTCATAAACGAAAACTAGCTCCTAAGAAACACATCTTCAGGAGACTGGTCAAACCTCAATCTATCCAGAGACGACGAGCTTTGTTAGTCCAGCAAAAAGGAGGCTTCATCCCTCTCTTAGCAGCAGCCGCTCCTTTACTTTTGGGAGCAGCTTCTTCCCTCCTAGGAAAATGAGTCGTAAAATGGTGTTAGTTCCCGAGGTCTTATTGAACGATCTCAAGGCAAAATTACCCAAACCTCCGGAATTTCAATCAACCATCAGTTTAGGTCAGGAATTGGACGAGATTACAAGACGTGAAGATTTAACCCCAGAAGAAAAAGTCGCTTTATATGGCCAGGAACTTCATCGATATAGGAATTATTTACAACAAGCTAGACAGGAACCTATTTCTAAACCGAAAATTCCAGCAGCAGCTCCAGCAGCAGGAGCAGCTCCAGCCCCAGCAGCAGCAGCAGCATCACCAGCAGCCCCAGGTGAGATTGAAGATGAAATCCTTGAAACAGTGAATAAAAACATGAAAAGAAAAGCTGGATTATTATTAAATCATTTAAAGAAAACCAAGGTGTTGAGTTGGAATAAAGAAGGTGAAATTAGTTATCGAGGTCAAAAAGTTCCCGATTCTAACATTGTGGATTTAATGGCTGATAGTATGAGATCTCGTTCTCGTAAAAACCATCCCCTTCCTAAAGGATTAGATGAATTTGCTCAAGCTTTAAAAGAGACGCGTACTCCTCTGGAATACGTGAGCAATGGAAACCTTATAAAAGCCATGCAGAGACCTGGAAAAATCAGTACTCCTAAAAGTATCTTCAGTGATAGTGAGGACGAGGGCGATAGTGGATTTAAAGATGCTTCTTCATTTTTGACCCCTATTAGTAGACCTGTAGGAGATAGAGGAATAAAAAAATCCACTCCTAGACCTCTGTTAAATATAGCGAAGGCCATCAAAAAATCTAAATTCAGTCCAAGTTTACCTAAAAAGAGATTAGAACAGATCGACGAAAATTGGCTTCAATTACCTAAATAAGATATGAAAAAGAAACCAGTGGAAGACATTTTAAAAGAGATTTATTATGATCCTAAAAGAGGGTACGGAGGAATACAAGCTTTGTATCGTCAGGTCAGAAGTCTGGGACATAAGATTTCCTTGAAAAAGATACGAGAATGGTTAAAAGAGCAAGATGCGTATACCTTACATAAACCCATTCACAGAAAATTCCAGAGACAACAGACTAGAGTGACGGATATAGACGAACAATGGCAATTAGATTTAGCAGATGTGTCCAGTTTAAAGAAACACAATAACGGTTATACTTTTTTATTGTGTGCCATTGACGTCTTATCTAAATATGCCTGGGTGGTGCTTTTAAAACAGAAAACGGGAAAAGAAATGATTCGAGGATTACGAGAGATTTTTCAACAAGAAGGTCGACGTCCCGTCCGCATTCAATCGGATCAAGGAAAAGAATTTACCAATCGAGAATTCTTACAGGCTTTTAAATCCATTCATTTTTTTACCACTCGTAATACGGACACTAAAGCCAGTATCGTGGAACGATTTCAGAGAACTCTCAAAGCACGCATGTGGCGCTATTTCACCCGTCATAAAACCAGACGGTATTTAGAGATCTTACCGGATTTAGTGTATGCTTACAATCACACTTATCATCGCAGTATCCAAAGAGCACCAGCTCAAGTGAATGCTTCTAATGTGTTAAAAGTCTGGAAAACTTTATATGGGAAATCAAATCGGAAACAGTTTCTTAAACCTCAGTTTAAGGAAGGAGATCGGGTACGCATCAGTAAAGCCAAACGCACATTTGAAAAAGGATATTTACCTAACTGGACCACAGAACTGTTTACCATTTCTAAGAGTTCCTGGAAGGTATCCTTACGTGTATAGAGTGCAAGATTATAACGGACAGGAATTAGAAGGGACTTTTTACGAGAAAGAATTACAAAAGATCATTAAAAAAGACGACGTGTACGAAGTGGAGGAAATCTTGGGGTATAAAAAGCGACGCGTAGGGAAAAAAAATCATTCAAGAAGTCAAAGTTCGGTGGAAAGGATATCCCCCTAGTTTCGATTCATGGATTCCCCAAACGGATCTCATCAAATAACTCCTCATTGGAAATTTTGTGGAGAGAATGTTCCTCGAGAAGAAATCGTTTATTTCGCACAATTATTGATCTGTGTATCTCTCATCGTCACCAGTGTGGTCATGTTAGCTTTACACGATCCTAATCGAGAATATTGGATGGTATGTGTCAGTTCCTCAGTGGGTTATATCATGCCTAGTCCTACGATGATTCATCATACACCTACCCCTAAGAAGACCACCAATGCACAGAGTTAATGTCTTTAAAAAAAAAATAAATAAATAAATAAATACACCACAGAGTATATATAAAATGGGGAAACAACAAAGATTTTTTTTCATTTCTGATCTGACTGAGGACAGAGCAACATGGAATTTTTAAGCTCCGAGTATCGTTGGAAAATGCAAGAGCATACAGGTTCCACTAAAAAAGGAGAATGGATGAAAAACAAAGAGGAATGCATCCAAGATTTCATGGATAAGAATCCGGGAGAAACAGGACTCAATGATGTGTACCTGTATAAGAGATTCAAATTACCGGACCATGAATGTGCACCACTCATAGTATTATTATTAGGGTCATGGCGACCCCAGTATCAGGAATTCAAATGGAAAGTCAAATACGTCTTGGCTCACAAAACAGAGGCACCAGCAAGGACCTGGATTCAAGGAAAATGGATGGAAGAAGTCCGAGATTGTATCAAAGATTATGTAATCAAAGTGCTCAGAGAAGGATACGACATCATGGACTGTGCTTGTGAAACAGAATATTTGTACATGAGGAGAACTTTTCCTATTCAAAAAGAACTATGCAAAAGTATTCCATGTTTGTTAATTTAATGTTGTTGTTGTTGTGAATTAAACCTAAGAAAAAAAAAATAAATAAATTCTGGTGTTGTTGGTTTTTCCGCATCGACTAAAAATAGATATCCCAAGGTATATATAAATCTTAGCTTTGAGTTCACTGTGTTCATTTTTCAATCATGCCTTCTGTGTGGAGAATGTCGTATTTTCTTCACCAAGAAAATAGTGCCTGTCCTCATTGTTATAGCCAGTTGAGAGAGATCAGCAGATTACCTGAGTATGACAGTGACGACGACCTTATTGGTTGGTATTGGGGATGTAATGAATGTGAAGAACGTATACCTCACTGGGAAGTAGACGATCCCCTTAGTTTGTGGTATTGTCGCTGTGATTGGTGCCTGAAATATTGCCTGTGGAAATATGGGGTTGATTTTATGATGCCACGTTGGGCTAAGCGCATGAGAAGAAATACCAAGATCGAAAGATGCCCCTCCTGCTGGGAAGAAAACACCCAAGGAAAATGGAAATGTCAACAGTGTATGAAATATCCCTGCTGTGAAAAGTGTTACAAGTCCATTATACGGCTTTCTTACAGAAATTGTCCCTTGTGTCGATTTGAACAATAATAATAATAATAATAATAATAAAAAAACTATAAACAAACCAGGTCTTATTTTCTTAGCTGCAATAATGTAGCCCTCTCCCGATTTTTATTTTTTTTTTTTGGGGAGAGGGCT